TCAGTGCTTGTCCTGGGTGGCGCCATGTGCCTCTGTCTCCTCGGTGTCCAGATGGCGCCCACCAGTCTGGGTTTTATGGCTATCACAGCCACTGGTGAGGCTCCTTGAATCTGCAGCTCTAGGAGGAATAGCAATGAGCTGCAGCAGGAATGGGTGAGGAGCATCAAAGGGGATCAGTGCGGGATGCCACAAAGCACTGCTATTGAGGAAGTTCCGAGCCCAGAGCCCATTTACCCACAGTGGTCAGTGGCTTCTAACACGGCCCGCAATGATCCCACCTTCTCAGCCCTCAGGTATTCTCCTTCCTCTGAGTGTGGGCTGGACCTACAGACTCACCTCCAGTCAGTAGAATATGGCAAAATGATGGGATGGCCCTCCCAAGATTAGGTAATAAGAAGACTGTGGCTGTCTTGGGCTCTCCTGCTTTCTCTCTCCCTTCCTGATCACTGTGCTAGGGCACCGAAGTGGCCCAATTGTAGAGGCCCACTGCCGTGGGATGAAGCTGAGGCCCTCAGTCCAGCAGTCCATGGGAGTGCAACGTGGAAGTGGTCCCTACCCCTTGCCACAGCTGAGCCTTCGCTGAGACCAGTAGTGTCACTGTGCCCTCATGAGAGACCTTGAACTGAAACTGCCCAGTTAAGCCACGGCTGCACTGAAGCTGCCCAGCTAAGCCATGGCTGAACCGAAGCTGCGGTATTTTGGGATAACTAGTTAGGCAGCAATAGAAGAGTCCCTTAGAGAGCCCGTATGATTAATCATCTTGACTGGGACAACTCTGCAAATGAAATCACACTGGGAAGACAGGTGTACACTTGGACTGTTCCTGGGAAATCAGAACATGGAACAAGAGGAGCAGCTGTGGCCTGTTTGGAGTTCTCCACGTGTCGGCTCCTGTGGTCCTTTCATGCCCCACATCCTACCTGCTGGAGGTGCTGGATGCCAACTTCTCACTGCAGGAACACCTAGGTCTTGGCGTTCTTTACTTTGGCATTTGCCCCTGTATGGCCTCGAGAGGCCCAGTCGTCTTCAACGCTCCATGCCCTCTTGCATAGGGAACACTGCAGGAGCTCTGTCCCCTCGGCATCATGACCCGACCCTGCCATCTCTGTTTTGATGGCCATGGGCATTGTTGGCAGGAAGACGTCCATTCTGCTTGGAGTCCAAGCCAACAGTAGGCCCCCCTCTCCAGCAAACATGGCTCTGGTGGTCCTTCTGATAAAGGTTGAGCTTACGTGGGGCAAGGAACAGAGTCCCCTATTCCAGGAGGGTTTTTGCAGGAATGCTGTGGGCTGGGGCTGGAACATGTTTGGGATGAGCCTCTCCCTCCATCTCTCATGGTGCCTGCTTCCTGTCTTCTTGCCTCTGAACAGCCCATGGTTTCTATGACCTCCTCCATCCTGAATCCCAGAAGGAGCCACTCTGATTGCTTTAGCAAATTAACGCATGCTCCGAACAGGTTGTTCTTAAAATTAAAAAACAAAACAAAACACAACACAACAGACCTAAAAGCAAAAAGCCAAAGGAATCACCCCATGAGAAGGGAAGGCTCACAGGAATCACAGGTGGAGGAACCTGCCAGTCTTTGCAGGGCAGAGGCTGCATTCAGGCAAAGGCCCAGTCTCAGGGCTGCGTGCACACCCAGTTCCTTTGGTCTCATCTCTGCTGTCTAATGTAAGCTGTCTCTAAGCCTGATGGCCTCTTTTCTGGCCCTTTGTTGCCACAGAAATGGCCCAGCCAGCTGAGCCTCTGTCCAGGCTCTCCAGTGGCATGAGAGGCTCACGCCCTTAGGAGCTCACCATTGTGGGGAGGCTGCTGACTTATGTATGGGCCACTTTTAGGGACAACGCTCACACAGGTGCACAGAGCCACTACTCCTGGGCAACAAATAGCCATGTTGGCTCCTTGAGCAGGAACTGAGGGTGGGGCCCAATCAGCTGGAATGGGACACTGGTTATGGTCGCACCCTCGAGGCCCCTCCAGAAGGGACTCAACCATGTTGTGGCTGGTGAGGCACTACCATGATTGAAATATTGAATCACATTGAAATAATAAATCATACTCAATAAGAATATAATTAAAAAGGCCACGCATGGTGGCTCACGCCTGTAATCCCAGCACTTTGGGAGGCCGAGGTGGGCAGATCATGAGGTCAAGAGATCGAGACTATCCTGGCTAACATAGTGAAACCCCATCTCTATCAAAAATACAAAAATTAGCTGGGTGTGGTAATGTGTGCCTGTAGTCCCAGTTACTCAAGGGGCTGAGGCAGGAGAATCACCTGAACCCAAAAGGGGGAGGCTACAGTAAGACGAGATCATGCCACTGCACTCCAGCCTGGTGACAGAGGGAGATTCCATCTCAAAAAAAAAAAAAAAAAAAGAATATAATTAAGAGGCTGAAAATGAATCCCCATTAATTGGAATTATTGTTTGAACTAATTTTTAAATAGTGCCTCACTACTTAGGGACCATCAACGATAGGCACCACCCATTTATTTCCACCACATTGTGGGGCCCCACTTCCTGTCCTGAAGTGGAGACAAAACCCTCACGGTCACTTCCGATGGGGTGTGTGGTGACAGCAGTTTCTCTGGCTCCCTCACAGTTCTGAGTTTGCAGTGGCAGGAAGTGAAAATGACTCCTGAACCCTGATGTTGCCCCTTCCCTGACCACCTCAAAGGAGGTGGGCAGGTGCAGCCACACATGAACTGCTGCCCCGTGCCCTTCTGGTGTGACACTGGTGGTGTGATATGGCTCATCCTGACACTGCAGGTGTCACAGTGAGCTGGAAAGTACTGGTGACTGTGTTCCACCTTTGGGCTCCATCCACGGAGGCTGCTTGCAGAAGCCCCCCGACAGCCAGTACTCACAATTCCCTCCTCTCGATATAAAGCCTCCTTCCTATGGGAGCCCTCACATGTTAGCAAGCTCGATGTTAATTAAGCATTAATAGAGTGGAGACCAATTGATTTCTCTGTCAACTGCTCCAGCTCCCATTCCAAAGTATCTTTGAAAGGCAATAAAACATGGAGTTTTGATAGATTTTTGCAAGACAGGCATATGAGCAAATGCGATATTACTTTCTCAGTTACTAGAGCTTTTTAAATTGATTACTAATCAGGGCCCAGTTCAATTTCTCTTAAGTGTCTGTTCCAAGAGGTGAAAACTTTTCAAGGAGTTTAACAAGGGTCTCTTGCAACTTCTCTTGATACACAAACTGTAGCAAATGGTCTTCTCCCTGTCAAGTAATTTCAAACAACTATCAAAAAACCACACTGAAAAAATTGCAAAACGCTTCAGGTAGAGAACTTCAATTCTTCTTGGAAATATGATTAATAAGAGACTGAAAAATGCACCCATGTTTATTGGAGTTGTTGCTTAAACTAATTTTTGAATAGTGCCTCACCACCTAGGGAAAACTAAATCACCTTTTCAATGAAGAGACACAAGTTAATTTAGAGCCACTAAACAGGCCATTAGGAAATATGTCTCTTGCCTAACAGTTAAAAACCACACACACACACACACACGATTGCCAATTTAGAATGATTTGATGTATGATGTTTTGACTTCTTGCTGGTGTGAAAGTGATACACATTCAGTATAAACTCTACAACTGTGCTCTTTTTCACTCTCAGTACAGTATTCAATAAATGACATGGGATATTCAACACAACTATAAAGTAGACTTTGTGTTAAATGATTTTGCCCAATTGTAAGTGTTCTGAGCACGTTAAAAGAGGGCTACACTTTTTAGAAAAACTTTTTAAAGCTATGATGTTGGAATGCATCTTTGGCTACAGTATTTTCAACTTAAGATGGGTTTGTTGAGCTGTAACTCCCACGGTAAGTCAAGGAGCACACACAAAACTACGGATAAGTAAGGTATTCCCCAAGCCTGCCTTAAAGACGAGGAACGCTATCCGCGGCCCAGGACTCCTGCTCTGGGCTAAGGCCTCCCTGGGGCGGTCCAGCTCTTGGCAGCGCCTGGAGCTGTCACCCAAACGCTGCTTCGTTCAGTGCTGTTCCCGGTGGAACAGCCTGTGGTCCAATGTTGTATAGTTCAGGATTTCAGGGGAAATCCCAGGCAGACTGTACTGACCATCACTGAATATTTTCTACACGATTGCAATCATTGTCCCTATTCACAAAACAACTTTCAGGGTTCGGGGAGGGCACTAGTGCCCAGCTCTGGGCTGGACGACGGGGTTACCTCGGGAATCTCGCGGCGGGCACGGGTCCCAAGGCCTGCGGCGACAGCACTGGGAGGCAGCCCAGGCCCTGCACACCGAAGGGGTCTTCGGAAGTAACCCCGCGGACAGGGAGTGGGAGGTGCTCCGTGTGCAGAGCCCGCGGAAATAACCCAAGTGGTCTCGTGGGAAAGAAACGGGCCTCACTCTGCTTAATCCAGAATTTATTCAGGGTGCATGGTCACAGACCCCCGCCCCAACGCCCCGGTGCTCTGGTACGACACCATT